GTGCTGCCCGGCCCGCGAATCCCCGCCGCTCCGGCTCCGCTCGCGCTGCGCCCTCCCCCGTCCGCTTCGTGGCCGGCGCCGCCGCTGCAGCTGCACATCCTCCGGCTTAGCTCGCCATTGCAACAGGAGCCCCTCACGTCACGCACGGCGCGTTTTGAAGCGGCCCGGCAGCGGCGGCGCGTGGCCCCTCTCGGGATCCGTCCGCGCCGCCCGATTGGCGCAAAAGTGAATGGGGGGCGGTTCACGTGGCCAAAGTTTGACCAAAAAAAAAAAATCTCCCGGCGCTGGCGGCGCCTGCCCCGCCCCACTGCGCCCCGCCCGCGCGGTCTGCGGTGGAGCCCGGCGGCCGAGGGGGCGTGAGGGGGGGCCGGGGACGGGAGGCCCCGCTAGGTGCCCGCGGGACCCCGCGCCGCCAACTGGGCACCCCGTTATCTTCCCGCGACCACGCCCCCCGCCGCCCGGCGTTCGGGCTCGGATCGTGGCGCCCAGCACCCGGCGCGGGGTGTCTCCTGCCCTGCAGGATGCGCGCTGGAAGGGACCTTTGCGGGGGCTTCTCGGTCCCCAAACTCTCCGTAAACGGCTGTTTCCCCCCGCAAAGACTGTCCTCAGATAAACCCTGCGCCCACGCCCTGTCCTCCAGCCAGGCGGACCTCTCCCTCCACCGTCCCCGCGTCTTCCCCGATTCACACTGTATCTTTGTTCCCTCCGTGAAGTGGGCAGGAGGGGGCACGCATAGAATAAACAGTGCAGGAGCCGCTGGAGACGTGCATGCTTGGGGCGTGAACCATGAATTCAGTTGCCTTGTTCCCTGTCACTAGTTTCTAAACTTAAAAAAACCACATATTTAATGTCCAAACTGCCAACAGTACTAGCTTGTAATGGATGTTGAAGAAATGGTAGGTGACGTTAATACTAAGGATGATACAGACCACGTGGGGGGTCATTCTATATGGGCAAGTCGTCGGTTAGTGCCCCTAACCTAAATCTTTGCCAATATTTTTAACAGTCCGTCTACAACAGTGTGAGGATTTCTGGACAGGTTTTAGGACTTGACTTCTGCGTGGGATTTTAAGTTGTATACATTTCCTCTTTAAAAAAAAAAACAAAACTCAGCTAAGGTAACACCCATACAAGAAATGTTTGTATAGAGTAAATAGTGGTCTCTTTACTTTGTCACCAATATATTGGAGTTTTCTAATGAAACTCCTGAAAAGCAAAGTATTTTCCAGGGCCAGAGAGGTGTCTTTAACTTAAGTCTAATGAAACCAGGAATTAACACAAAAAGTAAGCATGCTGGGGAACCCTTGGCTTTTTGTTTCCTTTGTGAGTATAACCAAGTGTTTGAAATGTTATACAATGTAAAGTGCCAGGTTGTGGGAGCTACAAACACCATTTCTGCAGCTGAATGGTGGTCACTCTTGTTTATTCTTTGGATGTCACCACTTTCTTTAGTGCTTGTGATTTATGTCAAAAGTAGTCCATTACCCACCTTGCCACAGACGTCCTCCCTAAGAAGTAATCCACATCCAAAAATAAAATACTCATATGCAGTGAATACAGGACTCCAGCAGTGGTCTTGGGGGACAATACAGAACGCACAGCCATGAATTAGAGGCTGAAAAACCACCCAAAGAGGGTTCCAGTAAGGCCATAAGCTACAAATGCCAAGTAGTCACCAGATCCCCCAAATCCAGTGACAACCCCATGACTCAAAATGATTCCCTTAAAGCACAAACTGGCAAGATACAAATATTCAATCTCATTGTATACATAATTAACCTGCTTAAAAATCTCTATATCTAAAATCCAAACACAAGTACAAAAATAGGGATGGGAATTGGTGCCCTGCAGGGTAGCAGCATTGGGAATGGTGAGGGATGGGAGAAAGAATTCTCAAGAAGTCCAAGCGACTTAAGGAGAAGCATCTAAGAGCAAGCTCTCCTTATTTAAACTTAGGTTCAGAGAAGATGGGCTGTGGGATCCCCCGCTCTCTTTGCCATCAGGGCTGTTGTCTTGATGCCCAGAGTTTCAGCTGGTCAAGCAGGGAGCTTCTCACAGAGGGCAACAGTCCTGGTATAAGGAACATACTGAAAACAGTATCTGCTGGAAATAGTAGGTAGATATCTTGCCCAGGTTAGCAAGACCAGCTAGAAGACCTTACTTGTAACGATTACCAGAAAGTTAGATAAGAATAAGGAACATGGGGCCCTCCCTGGTGGCACAGTGGGTTAAAGCGCAGCACTATGAAGCAATCCACAGCCACTGCGGCATGAGTTCGATCCCCTGCCAGGGAGGTGACCCCATGGCACAGCAGACCTCTCCTGTCTAGCTCCCCTCAGTAGTGCATTTCAGTCAGTCCACCTGTTCTGCTCCCCACTCTGTGTCTGGTGAATCCTCTCACTCCCTGCACCTCTGGCCTGAATTCCCCAGTTCTTGTATGCATAAATAAATCAATCTTTTAAAAAAGAAAGAATTGGGCCCTCCCTGGTGGTGCAGCGGGTTAAAGCACAGCACTAAGAAGCTTAAGCCACTTCCGCATGAGTTCCATCCCTCCTGCCCCGGAGGTGACCACATGGTGTGGCAGACCTCTCCTGACCCGCCCGCTGCTCCCCTCAGTAGTGTACTTCGTTGATCTGCCTGTTCTGCTCCCCACTCTGTCTCTGGTGAATCCTCTCACCCTCTGCATCTCTGGCCTGTACCCCAGTTCTGTATGAGTAAATAAATAAATCTTAAAAAAAAAAAAAGAAGAAAGAAAGAATTGGGAACTGGGATACTAAGCTTTGATTACCGCCCCTCCCCCCGCCAACAGTTCCTGGTCATCTCACCCCACCCAAGTGTGCACCAGACAGTGACACATCACTGATGTCTTACTCCCGATAGCGCTCCCCGACACTTTTACATTCCCTTAGTAGTTGCCAACCTCCTCTGAACCTGGTTCTAAAGAAGCAGGAGACTGCCCGGGATGCGGCCGCACCCTCACGGTGCAGTCCCTCTAGGCTTCTCGTTGCTATGCACGGACCTGAGTGACCTCTCGACCAGCGCCACTCCCAGCTCTGTGCTCTGGGAGGACAGTGAGCCAGCGCTGGGGAATGTACCTGCGCACGGATGCGTCATTGTCTGGCACAAGCTAGGTGGGCTGGCTGGGGGCTACTGCCGGGAGGCTCCATAGCTCCCACTACTCAGAGCTTACTACCTCTATTCCCTATTCTCATCTACCCTTCTGCTAGTCTTACAGATAGTCTAGCTGATCTTGCTAGTCTGGACAAAGTATCGTGGGCTTGCTGCTTTCAGCAGGTCACCCTGGTTTCCTAGTATATCCCTCAATCCAAAGCTTTTGTCTTCATGAGATGCCCCCTGCCTGCCTGGCTGACATTTAGCTTGACCAGCAGGAACTCTGGGCATCAAGACAGCAGCTCCTAGAACAAGGAGGGTGGAGGAATCCACAGGAATGGATGTTGAGGATGCTCTGGGTTTCCTGCTCAGTTCCCAGGTTCCTAGTGTCCCTTGGGTCCTTGGGCCACGCATGCCTCACCTGCAGAGCCAATGGGAGTGTTCTTTCATAACAGGCTACCCTGCTCCTCATAAGGCTTAGCACAAACGGTTAGAACAGCAAGGTCAGGGGACTACAACATAGTGATGTCCTTTTAGGGAATGGGGAGCTGTGGGTCACAGGTGGGGGTGGGAAGGAGAAGCAAGAAGCTATGGCCCTGAGGGTGTGGCCAGGGTGTCGGCACTGGGGCAGGGCCACTTCCCAAGGCAGACTGGGGAAGGAGAGAGAGCAGGATGGGTCACTGGAAGCAGTTCTTCTGGGGAAGGATCCAAAAGTGTCCTTGAATCAGAGACAGAATGACCCCAGGCAGGGAGCCCGCAGGCAGAGGCAAACGCCAGAGGCCCAAAGGGTCAGACAGGCTAATAAGCCCAGTACAGAGGCCTGGGCAGAGACCAGACCCACTGTCTCCTGGGCAGCCAGTAGCAGCCAGGCCAGTGACCCTGGGGCCACTGCCCCCCACGTCCTCTGCAGCTGATCCTGCCACGCACCCACCTTCAAGTCTCCTTGAGGCCAAGGCAGCTCCTCATCTCCCTCCCCTTCTTAATTTAGTAACCTGAGAAGTCAGATTGATCAGGTTATATTGGTATGTCACCTCAGCATCTGAGGGAAGAACTTTAATGATACTGGGTTGCTAGACTTCGCTGCTCCAGGAACCCCTTTGTTAAGTGGAGGAAACTGGGGCCATTTTCCTCATTAAAACAAGAGAGATAAAAGGAAGTATCCAGAATGAAATCGGTTATAAGGGAAACCCCAAACTACAGATTTTCAATGATGATAACTAAATGGTAGGAGGTTGGGGGGGGGGGCTGCCTGGCCCAGTCAGGGACAAAGAGCCTGGGTTCAGGCCTTCCT